AGCCATAATACTGGTTACTGGTAACTGAGGACCGCAGTGTCCCTTAGGTTTCCTGTCTGTGCTGTGCTTCCTGTGGGTTTGGGAGGATGTGTACTGACACGGTCCCATTCTGTTGTCACGCAGAATAGTTCCCTGGCCTAAAAGTCCACTGTGTCAGTCCGGGCATCCCTCCCTCTGCCCGTACCCGAGATCCCCAACAAGCAGGTCTCCGTGTATACTCCCTGATGTGGTTTGCAGTGATTTCCTCCATGTGTGGCTCCCCTCTGCGTGATCTCAAGAACAGAGGTCAGTTTTCTCAGTGTGTGACTTACACAGTCTTTCTTGGACTGTGCCCTTCTGTGCTGGCTAAGAGATGTTGCAATCCAGGTCACATAGATTTTCTTCTGTGTTGTCTTTTCTCTTGGGAAAAGCTTTTGTTTTTCCCTTGACATCTGTCATCCATTCTGATGTAATTCCTGTGAAGCTGTAAGGTCTTTGTCTGGAGCTTTGTGTGTGTGGCCAGTACCTGTGCTCTTGTTCCATTCCTCTCATGAGAGACTCTGCTTTCTGTGTGAGTGGCCGCGGCTCCTTCACGAGCTCCGTCAGTGAGGTCTGATTCTGGGCTCCATTCTCAGGAGCTGAGCTGTGCCTGTCCTCCCAGCCCCTGCCCAGCCAGAGCTTTGTCTTTGGAGTCTGTCCTTGTTGTGTTCGTTCTTCTGGGTCTTTTTGTCTCCAAATAAACTTGAGAATCTATCTGATGTCTTCAGAATCATTTGCTGATTTTAAATAGTCACTGCTTGGAACTGCTAGATGGAGAACTGGAGGACTTACAGGCTGACAGTTCTGAGCCTAACACACATATGTGGATGATGTCTGCACTGATGCAGCTCGTCCTCCAGTCTTTTCCTTGTGCATGTTTTGCTAGGTTTGTGCATTAGAACTTCATTTAGTTTGCACATATGTCACTGGTGGTGTGCTTTCACGTCAAATACCACACATTTGTTCCTTACACACATTAGAGGGCAACTGATTGATGTTACCCATGGAGCCTGAATTCTTGCAATAGTTTCCTTTATTCCCAGCAAGTGTTTGTTGTTGATATTTTGTGAATTTTAAAGATAGATAGTTATGTTCTTCTCAGTGCTACAGAATGCCCCACATTTGAGCTCAAATACCAGCTGAGTGCTTTATTTTGTTTCTTTCATTCGTTGTTTTTAATTAAAACACTTTTGTTCCCTTTTCCCTTTGCATTTGGTGTTTGGAGATTTCTGTGGATATTTTTGAAGTGACACATTTTTCCCGAGTCATAGCTAGTGTATTCTGATCCGGCGAAAGGCCTTCTGTTCTTCTGCTGGGGTCGGTTTCTAGCAGTTGCTTCTCTGTCCGCTGCCTCCTTTTCCCATTGGACCTGTGGGCCTGTTCTGGGCACTGCGGTGTTGACTTGTGGTGTTGAGAACGCTAAAGGTCTGCTTGGTGTGCTCTCCCTGCGAACACCGTCCTCTGCCATTTAGTCATCTTCCAAATGTTTCTTGGAAGCCCGTTGTGAGCAGCTGGGTGACATCAGTGGAAGCTGATCCAGGGTCCATGGAGGGTCTGTGTTTCTCTTCTAGGTTTGGAGCTGTAGTTCCCACACATAAGTCTCCTGTGCTCCCCTTGTTCCTGTCTGCTCCAGTGTCTTGTGTTCTCTCTCTCTCTCTCTACTTTTTTTTTTTTTGAGGCAGAGTTTTGATATGTAGCTCAGGCTGGCCTTGAACTCCCAGTGCTCATCCTGCCTCAGCCTCCGGATTGCTGCAGTTACAGGTGTGCGCCACCACACCCAGCCCTTGGCATCCTTTAGATGGCTCTGCTAAAAGTCTGTGCCTGTGGTTCTTCAGAGTTGCTGCTCTGCTCCGACATAAGAGCCCTGCGGCTGGGCGGGCAGGGGTGGAAGGAGAGGAAGCAGGGCGCAGGCCTGGGATGCAGTCTCCGGGTCTCCTGAGCCGGAGCCCAGGGCTGTCACCTTCCCAGCAACATCTCAGTGTGCCTGCCCCCTCTGCCCTCTGCACAGCAGCCTGAGTTTCCCCTGTGTCCATGAAGTATGAGCAGGTGCACGGATGTTGAGGTAATAGAGCACTCATGTGTTCCCTCAGAGAAGAGGAGACCTCACACCCATCCCTAATCCCATGTAGACATTTCCATTTCATTCCAGGGAGGCCCAGTGTCTGTGATGGGGGACGGGAGCTGCTCAGAGCCTGGTTAAACATTTATGAATTTGCTTGCAGAGATTCCAGAGGTGGAGGAGGATGGAAAAGAACCATCAATGGCCTCCAGGTAACTGGGTAGCGAGGTCTGGGACTCCCACAGGGACAGCATGAGGTGGGTCCCCAAAGGAGCAGCCCAGGAAGTCTAAAGCGCCCAGCTCTCACACGCACAAAGGGAAACTGAACCTGCTGCTCTGAGTCCATTCCCTCAAGCCAGGAGCAGCGCCTTTCTCCCAGGGTGTGCAGTGTCCCTGTGGAACTCATTTATACCAGGTGGACCTGATCAGCCCCACCAATACTGTGAAGTCAAAGAATCCACTCTCTGCTGTGTGGGGCTGAGATGTGCATCTGGTTCTACATGCTTGGCCTTAGCTCATTCGCAGGGATCTCAAACTAAGAAACCTAAGATCAAATACTGTCAGTCCCTGTATGGATGGAAAGAGCCCTCAACTTCACAAGGTCTTGGGACTCTGCTATCTCAGGGGCAGCGACTGAGGCCACGTAGAAAAGTCATTCACTTCAGGGACAAGGCACAGCCCTGCTGTGGTCTCTGATGTGCTGGAGTCATGGTTGTGTCACACGGGTGTGGGGGCTCTGTCCTCCTCAGTTTGTCATCTAGTCCATGCATGTGCCTCTCTGCTGTCTCTGTCATCTAGGCAGCTGCACTCCGCCCTCCTAGGAGGGAGAATCGGTCTTTGAAGTTGTGTCCTCTGTCTCTGTGACCACTCCCATACGTCTCTCTCAGATGACCTCGGAATCCTGTGTCCCACTCTCCTGGGTTTAATCCTGTCCCTTTTTCCAGCAGTGTGACTGGAGATGACCTGCAACACGAGGAAGCAGAACGTGTCCTCCAGGCCTCCCAGGGTGAAGACCACAAGGATTCCTTTGGTGTCTGTGAGGCTGGTGACACCCAGCAGCCTCTCGGTACCACTGCTGCCCTGATAGATGGGGTTGAGGACCCTTCTGCAGAGGGCCCTGGTGAGTCCTGCGTTATTAAGAGAACCACGCTCATGTCTGTGGATCCAGTGCAAATTCAGAGGGGTAGACACAGGCTGTCCAGAGGGCACAGGCTGAGGAGACTGTAAGCGCTCACAGCCAGCACTGTCTCCCGCTCCTGGCGGGCATCTGTCCCTCTGTACAGGTTCGCTTTTTCAAGCTAAAAAAGCTGTTGTCTCTTGCAGTATTCTCACTAACTGTGGCTCCTGAATGCTGTGCTGTGATCTTTAGCCCCAGTGCAGGTGTTGTTGCACTTGATGCACTCACTGGAGATGCTCTTACGGGTCCTCCACTCCCGGCCAGCATCTCTGTTCCTTGTAGTTGTCTGCACTAGGAAAGGTGTCCATTCCCTGCCAGGACATAAACACTCAGTACTGTGCCTAACGGTGCTCCTCAAGGTGTGTCTCTGCCTTGGGCCTCTCCCCGCCTTGGACATAAGCACCATCTTCTCTCAGTAGCCAGGCTCTTTCCTCCTTGAGGCTCTGTAGAGTCTTCCATCCACACAGACACAGTTCACAGTCTCCACAGGACCCACACAGCCCTGCAGCTGCAGCCATATTCCAGGCACACCAGGGATCCTTTCCATGAAGACCCTCGTATTTCACAGCAGTCTCGTCCCTGAGTCTCTTCTGCCAGCTGAGCTCAGAGGGTTCTAGAGGAGCCTGAGTTTCTAAGATCAACGACGGCAGTGAGGCAGGTTCCTGGGCCGTCTGTGGGAAGATGCCTGCGGAGCTGTGCCCCAGCATTCAGATCAGAATCCTGTGCTGCCGAACTCTCAGAGCAGGGCCCATCTGTCTGTCCATCCAGAGGCTCAGGAAAACACACCCTGTGACTTCTTGTAGAAAACAACCTAGGCCTCGTGCAGCGTTGCTCTCTGACTGTTCTGTTTTACACAGAGAATACTGACAATTGTGGGCTTGCAGGGTGTGAGTCAGGACTGGTGTGATGTGAGTGTCCACTTGTGATTTATTACAGAAGATCAAACTCACTCTGCGGAGGACACCCTGGAGCCAGCAGCCCCAAGGTAAGTGGGACAATGGAGGACTAGTGATGGTAACCATGGTGATGTGAAAACTGGTATATAGACCCCAGGAAGTCAGACTTCCTCAGACCCATCCTTCCCCCATCAGGCAGCCACAGGGTACATGTTGAAAGTGTGTTGCTACTTTTGTGTCCTTTTCTTGCATGGGATTTTGCTCTCACTACGTTTATAATAAACTGAATAGAATTTAGAAGCGCTGTAGTGACCCTGGATTTCAATATTTACCCACCTATATCCAACTTGGTCCCGAAAGATTAACTCAGAGGTGTTAACTCACCTCTGCACATAGAGACGGCTGTCATTGGCAGGTTTTCCATCAGCACAGGACTCTGTACACGAGTCACACGCTCATCATGTGTGAGTTGCAGGTGTAGATGTGCTCAGAAATTCTCTTGCTCTGCATGCGGCTGCACCAAATCATGTAGGTGCCACCCTCAAACGTTTGCCAGCTCTGCACTGGAAAGGCTCCCTGGGATGGACTCAGAGAAATCCCTGGCAACGTCCCAATCACTGTGCAACCACCCAAGTACACTCGGCTACTTTTCCTCAGTGCTCAGCACATGCTGTGTTGTCATTTATGACCAGGCCCGAAAGCTGAGTTCCAGCTGTGAGTTCTGCCCTCCCTTCTCCCTGGGCATTTCAGGTTTATCGTTGAAGAGCTGAACTTCAATTCAAAGCCTGTAGAGCAGTTTCAGAAGTGGAGATCCATCCTGTTCGACCTGCGCCAGACTCTGAAGGACCTGCTGACCCAGGGTGGACCTGCGAGTCACCTGGAGCAGAGCCACCCAAAGCACCGTGCAGAGTGGGGCAAGCGGGTCCAGAACCTCGGCCTCCAGCTCGGGCCAGGTGAGGTGGCCACAGGCTGATCTGCCTTGATTTCTGTTTGCTCATCTCACAGGGCTCGCGATGTGTGTAGTGCTGTCCTTGTCCCATTCAGGTGGGGAATCTCTGCGAGTGTCCTTCCAGAGGGCTCTTGTCACTCCCGGGGCTTTCTCTAGGGATTGGATGTCGTAGAATGTGGTTGTTGGATTTTGGGTGACATGAAGAGAACTCCCACTGTATAAATGACAGGAGGAAGATGGAGGGTGCTAGGGAGAGGCCGATGTGTTGATGTTGTAACCAGGCTTGTTTCTCCTTTCCTTGGGGAAAGGAAGCAGAGTGAGTGGGAGCCAGGGTATAAGACATGCATGAGGAGTATTTAGGCTCTGCAAACCCAGGTCCAAGTGAACTTGGCCCAGGACAACTCAGACCAGGATATTCAGTCCCAAATAGGTTCCTTTTATACATAGGAGCAGCATGTCACCCCAGACTGTTTCCGTACGACTGATGCAGAGGTCACTCAGTTCAGTTCCCCCTGCCCGTCTGAAAACCCTGCACACCCATTCATGTCCACATGCTGAGGTATGCAGTGGTGTGTCATGGGTGCGGTGGCCGCATGCAGTGACCATGTGGGTCCTTCTGAATTTGCTTGCAGGGCACCACTCTGATGGAGAAGTGGAGGAGGATATGGACTCCAGGTAACACTGCACATTCCAGGGGGGTAAGCAAGTGTGACAGGAGAGGGGTTGTGCAAAACTCAAGGGTTGGGGTCGGGAGTGGCCACGGATTTCACTCTCAAGGGTGAGAAGACCCCGCCAATGGCCATGGCCACTCTCAGCCAAGCAGGGACACTGTGGCCTTTTAACAAGGTGCTCGGTTTCCTCAGGGGCATTTGGAGAGGGCACCTGTCCACAAAGAACTAAGCATTCTTTTCATGCTAAAGAAACCTCTTATCCTGGGAAAGGTTAGAGTCAGGATTCCACGTTGTCTTTCTGAACTGTGGCCTGAGTGTGTGGACAGCTGAGGCACGGGAAGGAAGCAGCTGGGGCAGCCGCAGAGATCCATGCCATGTCTGCGTATTGATGAGCGCAGGCTTAGAGCGCCCAGGTTCCCCTGCAGTCACTGCGAGACCCTGGAGTCCGGAGCCTGTAGAACTCCCCTTGGTCCTGCACAAGGTGGGCCTGGCTGCAGTTCTCGCCACGAGCTCCCTGTCATGACTGCTCCTCAGAGGGAAGGCGGCTCTCTCTCCTCATCCTCGGGTCATCTGGACAGCTCCCGGAGCAGGGGCTGCTCTCTCCTCAGCGTCTCCTTCCATTCTCCATCTGCTTCTCTGTCTCTCTGTCACTCTGTCTCTCATTCCCGTAGCAATCAGGCAATGCCCAAGTCAGAGAGCAGTGTCCTCCATCCTCTGTGTGGATGGCCCCAGGTGTTGGAAGTCACCCTGAAGCATTGACTGAGGCTGACCCAGGAAGCTGTGCATTCTCATCTGTCCTAATTTCATCTTTTTTCCACCTGATCCCCACCCACCCCCATCTCAGTGTTGAGCTGCGTGAGGAGGAAGTGGATGTCTTATCGGAGTCAGTGGCGGAACTGTCCTTCCTTGGTTCTGGGCCGGCCTTTCCACCATCTCCACAGGAACATCACCTGAACACCGCCGCCCCTGTGGATGATCCTGAAGCGAGCCCTATAGGCCAGGAAACCAGTGAGTCCCCTGTCATCCTGCTAGAAGTGCCACTCCACTGTCCAGGGCTCTAGCTCTCCAAGGTCTCAGCTGAGACAGGCAGCTGCAGCCCACCCAGGGGTCCCCTTTGGGTGCAGAGCAGGGGCGGAAGTCTGCGGCTCTGGAGCTGTGCTGAGTTCCTTTTGCCCGGCAGGGCTCTGTCAGCCTGGGCCTCACAGTACAGAGCTCTGATCTGCACATAGGCCAGAGTGAGGAGAGGGGACAGGAGCCCCTCACAGGCCCCTGCAGTCTGTGTCCACCAGGCTCAGACCTCTTCCTGCAGGGGTCCTCGCAGGGCTTCTGTCCTGGTGCTGGGAGTGGCTGCTCCTGCCCTGTCCTCCCCTTGCTCTGCACTTCTGCGGGGCTGGCAGACTCCCCAGGTACTTGGAGGTGCAGTTGTGAAGCTGAGGCTCCCACCTCACAGCAGCTGCTCCCTCTGTGCTGTCTTCCTCAGGGCCTCTCTTCAGCCTGCCTTCCTCCCCCGTGGCCATGGCACCACCCCCTTTCCAGCTTCAGGGTTTTTGTCCCTGTTGGGCTTTGGTTTCTGTCACATGTCAACCTCAAGCGTTCTCCTTCCTGCCAGCCGAACCTAACTGACAGGTAGAGAGCAGGATTCCCTCCCACCCTGTCTACGAAACCCTGTCTTATTGAGCAGGAGCCCCACGGCCCGGCCTCCTGCTGGTCTCTGTGGAGATAAAACTCAGGTGTCTGTTCCTCTCTCTCACGCTCTTTGGATCTTTGGTCACAGAGAAGCATTGAAATTTGTGGGTGCTTTTAGTCAGTGAATAAAGTTTTAGGGAAAGGCGAGCTGTGATGTCCCACTGTGAATCTGGATGCTGCAGAGGGAAGGTAGCCATGACACCCGTCATTCCCCAGCCCCGGGGCAGACAGCACCTCTTCACTGTGCGACCTTCCTGTCTGCTGTCCCTGCTTTGCTGGGGTAGCAGAGGGCTGAGGTTGGGCTCTGGGCCCAGCCATTGGCAAAGCGGGAGTGAGCTACACACGTCCTGGCGTCTGCCATGTGCCGAGCCTGCTGTCACGTGAGCTCTGTCTGGTCTCAGCCATGACATCCTGCAGGGCCCCTCTCCATGCTACAGCTGAGCACGGTGAGGTCAGCAAGGTCACCGACCTGCCCAGGCATCTGCAGGGCGTGTGCATGGGGAGCAAGGCCCCTGCGCCACAAGTCCAACCTGAGGCTCTGTCCACGGTGCTGCTGCCTCAGTGGTCAGGCACAGGGCTGAGCTGGGGTAGGGTTAAGGTGTGGTGCATTTGTGTTCTGAGTCTGCGTATGTATTTTTTGCAGAAGCTGAAGACACTGGGAGAGCACAGGAGCAGAAGGCAAGCAAAGTGCTCGGGTGAGTGTGAACGTCACAGCCTGTGAGCCCAGGGACGGCCTCTGAGAGCACAGGTGCAGGAAGGGCCCTGTATTTCTACCTCCTCCTGCGCCAGCCAGGAATGGGCCCTGATCCTGCTGCTGGTCCCCAGCTGCACCACTTCTCAGGGTTCCTTCCCAGTGTCATTCTGCCCAAGGGGCACTGAGTGAGGTTCCCTGCACTCTCCTGTGGGAGACTGTGGGGAGGAGATGCGCCCCTGCTTTCCGTGAGGCTCACCTTGCTTGTCTGGCTGGGATTCCAAAGCTAGAAATGGAACTGGACCAAAAGAAGCTCGTGTGAAATCACAGTACTGGAAGGAGGCCCTGAGGCTCATGGTCTCTTTCGCTCAGCAGCGCCTCAGTTCCTCAGCGCCCCTGTGCTCTTAGTCAGGCATGCACACAGCACATGATCAAAGCACGTTGCTTACTTTGCTTGCTGGTCTTGTACTGTTATTGCTGGTATCACTTTCTTCAGTGACCCACTCAGAATTCAGCAGAACTGCAAATGATCACGGCTTTGAAAAGTCCCACACACATAGTGCCGTTTGTTCCCTGAAGGATTAAACTCAGCGATGCAGATCTGATCTCTGCATGTGGCACATTAGCCCATGGTCAGGTCTGTCATAGGCAGAAACCTGTGTCCATGAGGAACAAATTACTGCACACATCACTGCTAGGTGTAGAGTAGCGCACAAAAATGCTTGCTTTTGGGTGTTACCCTACCACATAGCTTGTGACGTGGTCAGCAAACACGTGGCAGCGTGGCACTGGAAGGGCTCCCTGGGATGTACTCAGAGAACTCCCTGGCAAAATCCTGATCATTCACCATCACCCCTCTGCACTCTGTGGGTCCTTTCTCTCCCTTAAGATGTCCCGGGTTGTCATTCATCACCAGTCTGGAGAGCTGAGTTCTAAGTGTGAATATTACTTTCTCTCCTCCCTTTGGCATTTCAGATTTGCAATGGAGCTTCAGGCCCAAATGTGGACACACTTACGGACAACGTTCCACAAATGGAGGGACACCATCCTCTTCCTCCGCTGCAGCATTAGGGGCCTGCTGTCCCAGAAGGACCCTGTGAGATGTGAGGGGCAGAGCCACCAGTTCCATGAGGAGTGGCGCATGGCGGCCAAGCGCCTCGCCCTCCAACTCTGCCCAGGTGAGTTGACCCCTGACCCTGCTCAGCCTCGGCTTCTCCAAGGTGCCCAGCTCACGGGAGAGCCCAGCAGACAAGCAGTCTTTCCATCGCTTCTGTCACCGTCTCCATTTCCCTTCAAGTCTGGGCACGTAGGGGGCCTCAGTAGAGGAGCGAGCAGATGTAGATGGATGTGAGGCCACAGGATCCCTCTCTCACCTCCCTCCCTGGTAGAACAGGGCTCCTGGAGAGCAGCAGCATCTCCCAGCATCCTCACAGCAAGGAGGGGCAGCAGGGGGAGGCGGCTTAGATTCCTCCCAGCCTTGGCTTGGTGTGCTGACTTCCTCGGTGGAGGGCATCGTGGATTGTTCCAGGTTGCCTTTGTTTGGCATTTTTCGAGACAAGGTCTCGTTGTGCTTAGCACGCCTTGAACTCACCATACATCCCAGGCTAGACTGCAACTCCTGTCAGTACTCTTGCCTCAGCCTCCCTAGTGCTGGGATTGCGGGCCTGTGCCACCACTCCTGGCCCCTCCTGGATTCCGGTTTCCTCCCCTCTTAAGTAGCCAGGAAGCCTGTTGTTCAGTACTTGTAGTAGTGCAATAGGGAATCTCCTGAGTGCTTTCCGTCGACTGTGGAACTCTCAGGTGTGGCTTAGGGACTTGCTATAGTAGAAGATGCTGGTGGGATGTTGGGGACATGAGCATTCTGGGCAGGTAACAGGATCGAGCTCTCCCTAGTGGATTGAGAGGAGGAAGGTTGCAGCCTAAGTGGTGTCTGGCATGGGGCTTCATGGCACAGGGTTGTTCATGTTTTCTTCAGTGAAAGAGGCGGTGGTAGGGACAGCCGTGGTGAGACGCAGGGGCACTGACTGTGCCATGGAGCTGTGTGACAGGAGGGAGGCTCGTCCGGCGCTCAGCTGAGCAAGATCCGTGAACTTGGCCAAGCCATGCGCAGAGGATGCCAGGTTAACCGTGCACCAAACAGGGACCTTGCATGTAGGTGGAACCTGTCATCCCACAGTTTCTGTGCAGTCCTCAGGGAGGCCAGGAAGTGCACTCCTCCCTGCATGCAGCCCGTGGGTGCCCCCGTTGTGCAGTTTTCTCAGTCCCGAGTCCAGGAGGCTCAAATTCAGCTCCCCTGTCTCCACTCTGAAAGGTGTGTGATGGAAACACAGGCTGAAGATTTGGTCCATTGCAGAGAACCTGGACAGGGAGACCTGGCTGTGCAGCCATCCCCAGAAGGGGCGGGAAGAGGGATCCGCACTGACTAGAAGCCAGTTCTCACACACAGCTGCCCACCAAATCCCATCGGTGTGACCCGCAGCCTTTCACATGTGAGGCCCAGGCGGGAGGGCAGGACTTCTCAGACTTGCTCGACTGCTGCACGGATCTAGCGCACAATATGGGAAGCAGAGGTTGGAGGGGGGGATGCCCTTGAGGAGGGAGAGAAAGTTCACGTTGGTGAGGAGATCTCACAATGAGGTTATCGAACTTGAGCTCTTTCAAGGACTTCAGGGAGAGGAGCAGACTTCTTTGCTGCCATCCTGGGTCTAACTAAATAGCACAGATCACACAAGGGTCCAGGATGTCCAGGTGCCACCGTAAGCAGGTGCTGCCTGACCCCAGAACTTGGTGTTGCTGAGTGAGTGAGCTTCTCTCACAAGACATTTGAGAAGGCACTGCAGGATGCGCCAGGTCCTGAGAGCTCCTTGCATCTGCGGCCCCGTTCGATCCCTGCAAGTCTCACATCCTGTTTGCCTGCCTGGCAGTGCCTTTAACACCGAGGTTAGCTGGTGTA